AATCATACTCACATACTCCTCACTCACATAATGTATATACATACATATTTTTCATGTATATTTTTTATAGCATGAAATTTATTATATTACAAAAACATACCTTATATTTACATAATATCATGTAATATAAATAAGCACATTGCCTGAGAAGTTGGCGTAATGGTTATCTCCATTTTAACAGCATCTGTAAAGAAACAACAAAATTAAAATGTGGTACAGGGTATTATGTCTTTGTGCATATGTTTGTAACAGGCAAAAGGAAATTTAGACCCATGGTTCCTTTTGAGAATATGCATAGAATCACTTTTTAAGTCGATTTAAGCATGTCCGTCCGTCTGTCTGTCCATGTATTTTTGTGAGCAAAGTACAGATCGCATTTATGATCCGACTTGGATGAAATTTGGCACAGCTTATTTGTTTGGCCCAAGGACGAACCCTATTGAAATTGGGAAAAATCGGTCCAGATTTACATATAGCTCCCATATATAGTTTCATCCGATTTCATGTAAATGGTGCACCAAAACCTCTATATATCTTTCGATTTGTACGAAATTTGGCGTAACGTACTGAATTGAGCCTAGAGTGATGTCTGCCAAGTTTCGTGAAAATCGGTCCAGATTTAGATATATCTCCCATATATAGTTTCGTCCGATTTCATGTACATTGTGCATCAAAGTCCCTATATATCTTTCGATTTGTACGAAATTTGGCGTAACGTACTGAATTGAGCCTAGAGTGATGTCTGCCAAGTTTCGTGAAAATCGGTCCAGATTTAGATATATCTCCCATATATAGTTTCGTCCGATTTCATTTAAAATGTGCACCAAAGTCCCTATATATCTTTCGATTTGCACGAAATTTGGCATAACGTACTGAATTGAGCCAAGAGTGATGTCTGCCAAGTTTCGTGAAATTCGGTCCAGATTTAGATATAGCTCCCATATATAGTTTCGTCCGATTTCATGTAAATTGTGCACCAAAGTCCCTATATATCTTTCGATTTGCACGAAATTTGGCATAACGTACTGAATTGAGCCTAAAGTGATGTCTGCCAAGTTTCGTGAAAATCGGTCCAGATTTAGATATAGCTCCCATATATAGATTCGTCCGATTTCATGAAAATGGTCCAAAGTCCCATATATCTTTCGATTTGCAAGAAATTTGGCATAACGTACTGAATTGATGCTGGAAAGATGTGTGCTGAGTTTCGTGAAAATCGATTCAGATCTAGATATATATCTATGTATTTTCGTCCGATTTAATCTAAATAATGTAACAAGTTCTTATGTTGCATAGCGTTTTGAATTTAATCCAGAATGATGTGTGCCAAGTTTCGTGAAAATCGGCCAAGACTTAGATATAGCTCCCATATATATTTTCGTCCGATTTAATGTAAATGGTGCACCAAAGTCCCATGTATCCTTCGATTTGCACAAAATTTGGCATAGCGTTCTGAATTGATGCTGGAATGATGTGTGCTGAGTTTCGTGAATATCGATTCAGATCTAGATATATATATTTTTGTCCGATTTAATCTAAATAATGTACCAAGTTCTTATGTTGCATAGGGTTTTGGGTTTAATCCAGAGTAATGTGTGCCAAGTTTAGTGAAGATCGGTTGAGATTTAGATATAGCTCCCTTATATTATGAATTGATTTTAAGTAATTGACGCACCAAGGAACCAATATATGGCTGATAGGAACAAAACGTACTGAAATTAGTATAACCTAACCTGTGACAAGTTTCGTTGAAATCGGTTCATATTTGGATATAGCATCCATATATAAGTAAATTGTACATCAAGCTCCTCATATTTGTTAGATTGACATCAAATTTTGCACAACGTACAAAATTGAGCATAGAATAACGTAGTTGGGTTTTCCAGAAGTACAGACCTAGCCCAACGGATGACCTATTGATATTTGTTTGAAGTCAATTTACATACTTTTTTCCATTGTAACAAACAAATGACATGTTTATGGATAGATCTAGGTCGTTTCACATTTAGATTAATATGACATATTTTATTTCATACAATTTCATGATAATAGTCCTGTTTAATATACCCATAGTGGTGAAGGGTATCATATAGTCGGCCCCGTCCGACTTTACTACTTTCCTTACTGGTTTTGTTTTGTTTTCATATTTCGAGAAGAACGACATTTTCGACGACATATCATGTTTTTAGTCATGAATGACAATTTCATAAATTTCGTCAACGATTCGTTAACGAAATTGTCACACAAGAGAGTATTTTCTACTGGGTATTGTCAATTTCTACATTTTATGTATGTAATTCATAAGTCTATCAATACTGATTTCTTGTCAGAGAGAGAGAGAGAGAGAGAGAGTGAGAGAGAGAGTGAAAAACAACTTTTGAGCGTGTTTTGGCGGTTTTCTATGGCACATAACCTCTTTGTCGTTTTGATTTTATGTTTTCCTCTTTGTTTTGTCTTCTCTTGTTTCTTATAAGCCTCATAAATCATCACAATCGAGTGAGTGGAGAAAAGGCGATAGTTAGCAAGAGAAACAGAAGTCTAAGAAAAATTGCAAAACTAACAACCAACAAGTGAGGGGAGAGGTGGAGGACGATACCAAAACAAAATACAGCGATGAATGAATTGTGCTTATGTTTTTTTGGGAGGAAAACATTTGTTTTTGTCAAAAGAGATAGAGAGAGAGAGAGAGAGAGAGAGAGAGAGAAAAAGTCACCACAAATAGTGGTAAAGTAGAGCAAACTATGAATATAGTTTTAATATAAATGAAATGTTTACATTTTTATACCCTCCACCATAGTATGGAGGGTATATTAATTTTGTCATTCCGTTTGTAACTCATCGAAATATTAATTTCCGACCCTATAAAGTATATATATTCATGATCAGGGCAAAATTCTAAGACGATCTAGCCATGTCCGTCCGTCTGTTGTAATCACGCTATCTTCTGAAGGAATTGGGATAGGGTACTGAAATTTTGCATAGGGTTGTCTTTTGTCTGCAGGCAGGTCAAGTTCGAAGATGGGATATATCGGTCCACGTTTAGGCATAGCTCCCATATAGCAGTACCTCCTAATTTTCGGTATTTTGGGGTTCTTGAGCACGCTTTTCAACCGAATACGCTGAAATTTAGTACATTGAGTTCTTATTGGGTACTAAATGTCTCCACAAAAAAAAAAAAAAATATAAATATAGGTCCACTTTTTCTGGTAGTATTTTGGGGGGTTTTGATCGTATTTTTCAACGAATTGTCTGTAATTTGGTATTTTAAGTTCTTAATAGGTTCCAAATATCTCCACAAAAAAATAATAACATCGGCCCATATACGGGTGCCCCAATTTTCGGTGTTTTGCGGTTCTGGAGTGCTTTTTTCAACCGAATTCTCTGAAATTTGGTACATTGGGTTCTTATTGGGTACCAAATATCTCCACCAAAAATTATAAATATAAGTCCATTTTTTTCTGGTAGCTCCCATATAAGGGTACCCCCAAATTTCGGTATTTTGGGGTTCTTGAGGGCGTTTTTCAACCGAATTCGCAGAAATTTGGTATATTGGGTTCTTATTGGGTACCAAATATCTCTACTAAAAATTTAAATATAAGTCCATTTTTTCTAGTTGCCCCCATATATAGGTACCCCCAAAATTTCGGTATTTTGAGGTCCTTGAGCGCGTTTTTCAACCGAATTCCCTGAAATTTGGTATTTTGTAGCCGTATATGGTAACAAATCTCCCTACCAAGAATTATTAATAATCAACCCCTTTTTAGGGATAGTCCCCATATAACCCCATTTTTTATATTAAAATAACTATCTGATTTTTCCGCGTTTTGGGTTTGGTTCTAACACTCTGATGTAATCATTTCACCTGCGAAGGATATCGAGATACAAAAAAAAAAAACTAGAACATACGGTTCGATAATGAACTACATGTGAACTATAGCACGCATTTAGGCTTAGCCGTAGCCCCTGTGTGGGAGGTACCAGAAGGCATGGCCTGATATTCCCCAAATTCGGTCTTGAACTAAGTTTGGAAGAAATAATAAGATGGGATGAAATCGAATTTTTCTGAAACGGATTTGGTCCAAAGAAACATGGGGTCTAGAACCAATATTTCGATGAGGCACATTTTCACCGTGTGAAAGTGTATACACACTAATTAGCCATAAGGCTGAGGGTATAATTTCTATTACAAAAGTATTGTTTACATAATCGGTTTGTAGAAATGTCGGTTAGGTCCATTTTTTGGTATGTTCCCTATATTTTCATTTCAAGTACCTGCCAGTATATCTATGGTGGAGGGTATCCAAAGTTCGGCCCGGCCGAACTTAACGCTTTTTCACTTGTTTAGGCTTCTTTTGATTATAAGAATTTTTACTTGTATTATAAGCGATGTAATAAGACATATTCCACACACCCGATCATAAGTTCAGAAATCGATTTTAGCAACAATGAACATCTGGAACTCTTAACAGATCACAAGCCTATTTGCCACTTACTATAAAAAACCAAGCACTTATCACAATTACTAGCTGTTGCGGTTTTTGGTGTTCATGGTTACAAACCGGCTACACATTGAACTTTGCTGTTGCTATTAATCAAAGCTTAGGCAAGACAATGAATAAATCAAATAAAATAAAAAAGCTAATGTGAATTCAAAACGACTTCGGAATGCACTGCGATTTATAAGACATATTTTTAATGAAATAGGAGGCTGGTAATCGGCTCCACATATTTTTAAAAGATATTTCCATATATGCAACATGGGTTTAAACCCAAGGCAGCGGAACTTCGAAATTTAATATCGACAATTTTAAGTACAAGTTCTGAGATTGTATGAACATATTACAAATAAATGGAAACATTTAGTTTACCTAACCTCCATTCGGAAGTGTATAAAATGTTTCAATTACAAAACTTGAAAATATGAAAACAAGTTTTATTATTAAACTAAATATTAGTTTCGCTTAGTTAACACTTTACATTGTCAACTGAAAGTATTCGAAATGTTAAATATTAAACCTTTGAGTACGCAATTACAAAAAATTGCTGAATTAGAATTGGGTGAAGTGCCAGAACGAATACCAACCGATTTGGATGCCCTAAAACAATGGCTGGAACAACAACCCCATTTAAAAGTTAATCAAGATAATCAATTTCTCATACAATTCCTAAGAGGTTGTAAATATAGTCTGGAGAGAGCAAAAGAGAAACTGGATCGCTACTATACTCTAATGACCAAATATCCGGAAATATTTCTAACGACAAATGTTGATGATATTACATTTCGACGTAATCATAATTTGGGGTAAGTTAGAGAGTTTTGAATTTCAATATTTAAAAATAAAAAATTATTTCAAAACTTTCCAGAATCTTAATACCCCTGCCAATGCCTCTAAATGACTTCGGTCCACGCATCATGATGTTCCGTTTTAGTTATTCACCCAAAAATGCCCCCATTGAAGATGTTTTTCGTTCCGTTAATGCAATACCCCAAGTTTTGTTGGTAGATGATCCATATGCCTGTATTTATGGTACGGTTTATATTGTTGACATGTCCCAAATAACTACAGGGCACATACTGCAATTAACCCCGCCCTTTGTAATGAAGGTAGTTACCTATTATGAGAACACACTGCCATTGAGGGTAAAGGCCATCTATTGTATAAATGTACACAAATTGGCGGAACAGCTATTGAAACTGATATTATCGTGTATGGGTGAGAAGTTGAGACGAAGGGTAAGTGGCACTTCGTATACATATAATATTATATTTTTTAAATAAAAAAAATATTTTCCAGGTCTTTATTTGTGGTAAAAATTTCGACAGCATATATCAGGGCCTTCCGCAAAAATACTTCCCTCAGGATTATGGTGGTGAAAATGGTCGTTTGGAGGACTTGTGTGCCGATTTTAATAAGAAATGGAATGAATATCGTGAATATTTTCAGGATAATATTCATTATGGGACTGTTGAAAGTTTACGCACTGGAAAACCCATCGATTTTGATGGATTATTCGGTATGGGAGGCTCGTTTAGGAAATTGGATGTAGACTGAAAATAAAATAGAATTTACTTCTAATAAAAATAAAAAGAAGAAAACAGTATCAACTGAGTACATTTTTTTGGAGTACCCCATTTAATGGGCATTGAAGGGCGAAGGTCTACGTATCTTGGATAACCCGAAATACTTATAAGCAATTTACCGTTAGTCTCCAAATAATTCCTGAAACCTGGAAATTAGACGATTTTATTCCTGTCGCCAGTTGCAAAGACCCTTGAGGCGATACTCCACCTAAGAAGATACATTTTTTTTAGTTTTCTTGTTTATTTGCTCTAAATGGCGCCCAATGTCATTCGTAAACAATCGTTAATCCAGGATGTTTTCTTCAATTCAGCCCGGCTGAATAAAGTTTTCTATAGCAAATCTTCAATTCAGTCTGGCTGAATAAAGTTTCCCATATGAAATCTTCAATTCAGCCGGGCTGAATAAGGTTTTCTATAGGAAATCTTCAATTCAGCCTGGCTGAATAAGGTTTTCTATAGGAAATCTTCAATTCAGCCTGGCTGAATAAGGTTTTCTATAGGAAATCTTCAATTCAGCCTGGCTGAATAAGGTTTTCTATAGGAAATCTTCAATTCAGCCTGGCTGAATAAGGTTTTCTATAGGAAATCTTCAATTCAGCCTGGCTGAATAAGGTTTTCTATAGGAAGTTTTCAATTCAGCCTGGCAGAATAAGGTTTTCTATAAAAAATCTTCAATTCAGCCTGGCTGAATAAGGTTTTCTATAGGAAATCTTCAATTCAGCCTGGCTGAATATGGTTTTCTATAGGAAATCTTCAATTCAGCCTGGCTGAATAAGGTTTTCTATAGGAAATCTTCAATTCAGCCTGTCTGAATAAGGTTTTTTATAGGAAATCTTCAATTCAGCCTGGCAGGATAAGGCTTTCTATAGGAAATCTTCAATTCAGCCTGGCAGAATAAGGTTTTCTGTAGGAAATCTTCAATTCAGCCTGGCTGAATAACTTTTTCTATAGAAAATCCTCAATTCAGCCTGGCTGAATAAGGTTTTCCATAGAAAATCTTCAATTCAGCCTGGCTGAATAAGTTTTTCTATAGGAAATCTTCAATTCAGCCTGGCTGAATAAGGTTTTCTATAGGAAATCTTCAATTCAGCCTGGCTGAATAAGGTTTTCTATAGGAAATCTTCAATTCAGCCTGGCTGAATAAGGTTTTCTATAGGAAATCTTCAATTCAGCCTGTCTGAATAAGGTTTTTTATAGGAAATCTTCAATTCAGCCTGGCAGGATAAGGCTTTCTATAGGAAATCTTCAATTCAGCCCAGCTGAATAAGGTTTTCTTTAAGAAATCTCTTAAATCTGTAAAAACATGTTAGATAATATACCAATTAAAATTATCGGTGACATTTGATTATCTATTACATGCTGTTTTGAATATATGCATATTTCTATTAATTCGCGATACAAATTTAATTGCAGAACTAATTCTAATTTCTTGAAAGTTATTAACTTCTATACCATGTTGACAGTGCGCACGCAGTTTTCCGCAATATAACTCTATAAAAAATTTTAATTACAATAATTATGGCAACAGTTTTCTTGAAAAATTATTCTATTTATTTATTGCCACACTTTGAGTGGACTTATAGCAGTTGCCTTCTTAACTTTCACCATCACCGACATGCTGCAGTTTATAGCTCTTAACGAGGATCTACAAAAGGTTGCCAATACGCAGTTGGGAGAGAAACCATCAAGGATAGCTGAGGATTTACTGGCCCTCCGAACATGGATTGAAACACAGCCACATCTAAAAGCCAGAACGGATGATCAATTCCTAATACAATTTCTCAGAGGCTGTAAATACAGCCTGGAAAAGGCTAAACAAAAATTGGATATTTTCTTTGCCATGAGGACACAATGTGCGGAATTATTCAATGTTACAAATGTCGATGATATGGCATTTCGTAAATTTCATAATACAGGGTTAGTAAATCATATGGGAATGCATATTCAGCCACGCTGAATTGAAGATTTCTTATAGGAAACCTTATTCAGCCACGCTGAATTGAAGATTTCCTATAGGAAACCTTATTCAGCCACGCTGAATTGAAGATTTCCTATAGGAAACCTTATTCAGCCACGCTGAATTGATGATTTCCTATAGGAAACCTTATTCAGTCACGCTGAAATGAAGATTTCCTGTAGGAAACCTTATTTAGGCACGCTGAATTGAAGATTTCCTATAGAAAACCTTATTCAGGCAGGCTGAAGTGAAGATTTTCTATAGAAAAGCTTATATAGCCAGGCTGAATTGAAGATTTTCTATAGAAAAGCTTTTTCAGCCAGGCTGAATTGAAGATTTTCTATAGAAAACCTTATTCAGTCAGGTTTGATTGTAGATTTACTGGAGTAAGTCTTATTCAGCCAGACTAAATAAAAGATTCCCTATAGAGATATGAATAATTTATTTAATTTTTTTTAGAACACTTCTTTTCCTGCCGATACCCTTAAACGACAATGGCCCTCGGATAATTTTCTATCGTTGTAATTATGCGGCTCAGGATTTTACTTTGGAACTGGTTACTCAATTTGTAACAGCATTGCATGAACTAGCAATGATATCAGATCCTTATGCTTGTGTTAATGGGATATCCTATGTCCTTGACCTGTCGAAGCTAACGCTACAGCATGCAATGCTACTAACACCCATGTATCTCAAAAAGATTGTACAATTTTTTGAAAATACATTGCCAATGCGTGTCAATTCGCTAACGGTCATAAATTTATCACCGGCCGCGGACCACCTGCAAAGGATAATATTTTCATGTTTTCCGGAGAAAATAAGGAAGAGGGTATGAACAAATTAGAAATTAGGAATGACAATATATACTAATAGTTGTTCCCTTCATTTAGATCTTCATTTGTGGCCGTAATTTTGATGATGTATCCTCGCATATACCGCGTAAATACTTTCCTCTTGAATATGGTGGAGAAAATGGTTCTTTGGCCCAACTTGTTGAGGAAAATAACAAACTGTGGGATAAGTATCGTAACTATTTTAAGGGCAATGCGGATTATGGTACCAATGAACGTTTACGTTTTGGCAAACAGTTGAAGTTTGGAGATAATTTGGGTATGACCGGTGGGTCTTTTAGGAAACTTGATGTGGACTGAATACATGCAGTTTATATTTAATAGATGATATACCAAACATATCGTAGTAATTTTTATATATTATTATACAGTAAAATATTACAATGAGGTATATATATTTTTTAAATAAATGCATATGACCTAACTTATTTATATTTTTTATTATCTAAAGTAAAATTTCCTATAAAACCAAATTCAGCTAAACTGAATATTTCTTATAAAAACCCTTATGCAGCCAGCCGGAATTGAAAAATTTCTATGGAAAACCTTTTTCAGGCAGCCCGAATTGAAGTATCCGAAGTCCGATGCCTTATCCATTAGGCCACACGGTCATACTGTGGTTGTTGCCATATATGACATTTAAAGTCCGGCAATTGATTGTAAGTATAACAGTTCTTATGGAAAACCTTTCTCAGACAGCCGGAATTGAAGAATTCCTACAGAAGTCCTTATTCAGCCAGTCGGAATTGAAGAATTCTTAAACAAACCCTTATTCTCCAGGCTGAATTGAAGATTTCATACGGAAAACCTTATACAGCCGGGCTGAATTACAAATTTAGTATGGAAAACCTTATTCAGCCAGGCTGAATTACAGATTTTATATATAAAACCTTATTAAGCCGGGCTGAATTACAAATTTAGTATAGAAAACCTTATTCAGCCAGACTAAATTACAAATTTAGTATACAAAACCTTATTCAGTCAGGCTGAATTGAAGATTTCCTACGGAAAACCTTATTCAGTCAGGCTGAATTGAAGATTTCCTACGGAAAACCTTATTCAGCCAGGCTGAATTGAAGATTTCCTATAGAAAACCATATTCAGCCATGCTGAATTGAAGATTTCCCATAGAAAACCTTATTCAGCCAGGCTGAATTGAAGATTTCCTATAGAAAACCTTATTCAGCCAGGCTGAATTGAAGATTTCCTATAGAAAACCTTATTCAGCCAGGCTTAATTGAAGATTTCCCATAGTAAACCTTATTCAGCAAGGCTTTACTATGCGATACTTTATTTAGCAGGCCTGAATTAAAGATTTCTTATTCAGCCATGCTGAAGTGAAAAATTTCTATGGGAAACCTTACTCAGCCAGGCTGAATATGGCTTTCACGCCATGTGTTGGTCCTTAAAAAATATATTTTTTTAAAAGTATTTTTAATTTACATAAATTTGAAACTAATTAATGAAACTTAATCTACTTCAATTTTCCGAAATGAACCACCAGCACCGAATTGCACCTCATCACCACAAATCGGTTCACCCATAAATAACTTCTCATCGAAATCAAAACAAGAATTCATTTCGAAAAATTCCCGATATTTTTCCCACATTTTAATGTGATCTTCGCGCAACTCATCCAGGCTGCTATTTTCACCACCATAATCACGAGGTAAATATTTTAGAGGTAGACTTTCGGGTAATGAACTCAAATCTTTGCCACAAACAATCATCTGTAAATAAAAAATTAACGAATTTAATTTCGTCGGGAAAATAATTTATCTGCTGGTCTTACCTTCTTTTTCAAAGCTTCCGGCATAATGGATAAGCCCATTTTCAAAATTTGTTCAGCATAGGGTTTGAGATTTATCAAATAAATAGCTCGCAGGCGCATTGCTAAAGCCTTCTCCTTAAGGCTTATGAGAAATTTCAATAGGGTTATAGTCAGTCCTGCCAGATGGTCCTTTTGTAGCTTTGTAAAATCCATAATATAAACTAGACCACACACCCCGGCATGGGGATCATCAAAGGCCAGTACTTCATGTAAGGCACACATGAGTTGTACATAATTTTCAATATTATAATTGGTGGTGATGGGGTATACAAATCGCTCCAAGATAATGCGGGGGCCATTGCCATACAAGGGAATGGGAAGAGGTAGAAGGG